TTTTCATATACATTTTACTAATTTCCTTTCATCTCTCACACTTCTATTATAGAGAAAGGGCAAATAGCAATATTAAAATATTTCCGCTAATTAATTCCCTTTTAATGTGCATGAATTTTGTGCACCAGGCTACTAGTTTTTTAATAAAAATAATAAAAAGGCAAAAGCAGGTGAACCCAATACTTGTTTAGCAATCAATATTTTAGTATTTCATGTTGTTTTGAAATATCTAGATAATCAATAATGTTTATTAAAATTACTAATTTAGAAAGGAATAGCTGAAATAAGTTAAATTGATTTATTGATGTATGGCTAAGGTTTTTGTTTTGTTTTGTTTTTTTAACCTCAACAATTGGGTTGCCGCCCAAATGTTGATGATGGACTGACAAATCCATTCACTGATTTTTGGAATGTTTTCTACCATTTGGATACTTTTTTTTTTTGGTTAACAGACAGCACATAACTTAGAGTAGCCTCTGAGAGTCATAAAGGTTTGGATATACGTCCATTTCCCTTGGTAATGGTAAAACAGGTCTAGCTGTAGTATCAGCTAAATAATTTCTTTTTGCTTCCATGGTGGCAGCTTGAGAATGTCCTGAAGTTTTGATAATTGCCAATTGTTTAAATTTCCGTATAACATCTAATAATAATGCAACTTGTTTTCCATTCTTTATGGGCTGTCTTAGAAAATGAAGATGACTTGCTTCTTCCACAACATTCTAAAGTTGTGAGCTTCACTAAAGGCATATCTGCTACCAATATAAATATTGGCTATTCAATCTTTGGCCAATTGACAAGCCTGAGTTAGAACAATTAGGCTTGTTGGGCAGATTTTATTTAGGTAAATAAGACCTAAATAATGTTCACTATGGAAGTTATTTCATATCCAGCTCAGTAACATTCTTGTTTATCCTTTAAAGATCCATCTGTAAACCAATTAATTAAGTCAGCAAAGAGTTTCCTATTAACCATTCCTAGGAATAAGAAGGTGGTCATTTGGCAAAATGCAATCCTGGAGGTCTTTATTCTGCAAAGAAAGTAGCAGAGTTGCTGGGTTAATACTGTTACATCCAGTTTAAGTGCAATTAGGTGCAGAAGACAAGAGCTGGTTGGCTGACAGAAGTGTTGAATGTGATGAGAATTCAGTGGACATTTAATAGAATGAGGAACATACAGTAAACAGAGGAGAGCCCATACTATCTTTGGTTTGTTTGTTTGTATCACAGCAGAAATGGCTGTCATTCAGGGAGGGTGGCCTTTGGATACTGAGTCTAGTTGGCAACTATAATAGCCTATAGCAGCGGTTCTCAACCTATGGGTCGCGACCCCTTTGGCAGTATAACGACCCTTTCACAAGGGCCGCCTAAGACCATCCTGCATATCAGATATTTACATTACGATTCATAACAGTAGCAACATTACAGTTATGAAGTAGCAACGAAAATAATTTTATGGTTGGGTCACAACATGAGGAACTGTATTTAAAGGGCCAGAAGGTTGAGAACCACTGGCCTATAGGCTTATGATGATCTATATTTTTTAGTTAAAATTTCTAATAATCAATGTGTCACAGAGTGGAAGCTTTAGATTATTCTTTAGAAGTTTTATAGCTTGTTTCCTTTTTGGATTCCAATGAATTGGATCAGGTCAATTTGATTTTAATACGACATAAAGAGGCTGAGTCATTAATGAAAAAACTGAAACCCAGTTGTGACAATATCCAGTCAAACCAAGGAATCTTCTAAGCTGCTTTCTTGTGGTTTTTTTGTTTGTTTGTTTGTTTTTGATGGTTCGTTTGTTTGTTTGTTTGGAAAAGATAGGATTCCTCAGAATTTTTCAGGGTTACTTAGTAGCTTATCTTTGTATATTAGATAACCTGAGGTAAACATAATCAGAACTTGTTCTTTGATATCCATGCCCCTTTATAGCTAGCTGTTGTAATAGGTGTATTGTGTTCTTTTGGGAGTCTAGTAATTTTCTAGAGTCTAAAACTAAATCACCCACATATAGGGTTAGAGTGGAATCTCTAGGAAATTTAACATCATTTAAACCAGCTTTTAGTATCTAAGACAATAGGTGGGACTCTTTGTACATCCCTGGGGCATTACTGTCCAAGTAAACTTGTAATCTTCCCAGGTGAAATCAAGAAGATATTGTCTTTCTACTGGAATGCTGAAAAAGGCACTACATAATTTTATTATTGAAAAATATTGGCAGTCACAGGAATGACTAATAATAAGGAATGTGTATTTGGAACCAGAGGATGTCTAGAAATAACTAGCTTATTTATAGCTCTGAGACTTTGTGCAAATCTCCATCTTTTTCCATTTGGTTTCTTTACTGAAAGGATAGGAAAATTACAGGGGCTCATACATGGAATTATAAGCTTCCCCCCTTTTTTATTTAATCCTCACCCGAGGATGTTTTTCCACTGATTTTTAGGTAGAGTGGAAGAGAGAGGGAAAGACAGAGAGAAACATCAATGTGAGAGAAACATATGGATTGGTTGCCTCCTGCACTCGCCCCGACCTAGGCCCGGGCCAGGGAAGAGGCTGCAAACCAAGGTACATACCCGTGACCGGAATAGAACCTGGGACCTTTCAGTCCTCAGGCCAACGCTCTATCCACTGAACCAAACTGGCTAGGGCTATTAGCCCCCCTTTTAATGGTAATTTTAATTTCTCCTAAACTATCAATAAGAAGGGGAAACACTTTCTCATAGTCCTCAGACTTGATCCTGTTTTTGTTTTTCTAAATCCGATTTCAGTTTCCTATAATCCTTAAAGTGGACAGACTTCTCTACAGGAGTTTTCCTGTGAACCTTATTTAGTAGTTCTGTTGGTTTTGCTCCCAGAAACCAGTAGGTATATTAATTGGAATAGGTTAAAATAGCCAGGGTTGCATTTTCTAACAGTTAAATTTCTTTGTGAACCCATCAGGGTCCTGGAGAAAATTAGGAACAATTGCTGGTTCATGTATCACTAAGACCAGATTTTTTCCAAAGGAAGCTGTTAGAATTCTTATTCTCATTTTCCTTTAAGTCTGTAGGGAGTAGTAGGGAAGGAGATAGAAGGGGAAAGAAGAAGGGAGGGGAAGTGGAAGTCCAGACATGGAAGCTCAGAGAGCAAAGGATATAGTGGAGGAGGTATAGAAGGCAGAGGAATGGGATGTAGACATTTATTAGCTTCAGGAGAGTTCAGAGATAGTCTCTAAAATTTCTTAATTTCTTTTTAAAAAAAGATTTTATCTGTGCTTCTCCTAAAACCTTCTAATTTCCAAATCATGATACGCTTCCCATTCATTCAGTTTAATATTAGAGCTGGAATTTTTCTAATTTTTGCATGTAAAAAAATAATTTATGCACCCAAAAACAACTGCATTTTAGCCATTTCATGTTGATATTTTCTAGTTAAATCTTCCCATTTCTGTAAAGCACTTGCAAGTAAAAGTCTTCCTACCAGGAGTATGAGGGCTTAGGCCTGGGAGATTTTGGCCTTGGAAGCGTAATTTCCTATGCTAATTATATATATATATCTATCTATCTATCTGCATAGTCTGAGCAAATTTCCTAGGGATGTTATTGGGTTGAAGTGTGCTGCTTATGGGTTGAGCTCTACGAGGCTCTCACCCCTTGAGTCACAATCAGTTCTCTTTTGTGAGTCGGTTTCTCTCCTTGGCTCTCTAGCCATGAGGATTCAGAGCAATAGGTGAGCAACCTTTATAGGGCATTTCCCTATGAGGTTCCTGCATGTTGTGAAGAATGACTTCTGACACCTCCACAGGGATTCTTAGTTGCCTAAAAACACCGGAGATTTGGGTTGGAGAGAGGAGGTGCCCCTTATCTTAGGAGCTGATGAGTTCAACTCTCATTTATATGGCGAAGGTTTTATGTTCAGACTCTCAGAAAGCAATTCCAGTGGAAAAGCCAAAGTTAAAAGCCAGCCACCCATTTTTCCTCCTGTCTTGTTTTAGCCTGTTTTATGTCAACCCTTAACCTTAATTCTACCTTGAGGATTAAAGAAAAAACAAACACAACTCAAATAAAGTCAGACCCTCTACCACAAGCAAGGGAAGGTCCTGGATCCAAGAGACAACTCACCCAAGTTCACCCAATGTGGCAGCATCTGGCGGGCTCGATGGGCCCTTTGCTGGATCCCAGGACCAGGTCTGGGTCTGAGGGGTGGTCCTAAGTGAGCTTCTTTGCAATCCTGTTGCACTACACTAAGTAAATGTCAATGTAAGAAACATTCAGACCTGTAAAGAATTTTTGTTAAGTTTATTTGAGCCAAACTGTGGACAATTGCCAGGAAGCAAAATCTCAACACATTGAGGTAATGCTCCAGAGAATGGCAGTTTTGCACCTTATTTTATGCATTACAATCCAAAGAGAAGACATAACTGGGTTACATGAAATTCATTGGTGATAGGTTAGGATTGCAGGAGATAGCAAAGCAGGGGGAAACCTCTGGGATTGGATAAAAAGTAAAATGATATATTTTTTATATGGGTGCATATAGGAAAGGTAATAGTCAACAATTAACACAATAAAAATAACAAAGATGATTTCTAGTCTCTGCTGTGGTACATTGGTTGTGCCCTGAGAGGTCTGTGAAAAGGGAATGTACTCTGACATTCCAAAGGTATGTTATCTATAACTAGAGGCCCGGTACATGAAATTCGTACACAGGTAGGGTCCCTAGGCCTGGCCAATGATCAGGGCCGATCAGGGCTTTCCTTCCCCCAGCTGCCAGCTGCTGGCTGAGGCCTTCCTTCGTTCCGCATCGCCCCCTGGTGGTCAGCGCACATCATAGTGATGAGTCGAACTCCGAAGGGAACAATGTGCATATTAGCCTTTTATTATATAAGACTAGTGGCCCGGTGCACGAAATTCGTGCACGGGAGGAGGGTGTCCCTCAGCCCAGCCTGCACCCTCTCCAATCTCGGACCCTTTGGGGTTTGTCGACTGCTGGTTTAGGCCTGATCCCAGGATGTCCGACTGCCAGGATCGGGCCTAAACCAGCAGTTGGACATCCCTTTCACAATCCTGGACCTCTGTCTCCTAACCACTCACCTGTGTGCCTGCCTGATTGCCCCTAACTGCTTCAGCCTGCCAGCCTGATCGCCCCCTAACAGCTCCCCTGCCGGCCTGATTGACGCCTAACTACTCCCCTGCCAGCCTGATCATCCCCAACTGCCCTCCCCTGCTGGCCAGATCACCCCCAAGGCTTTTATTAGTATAGCTATGACCCTTCACAGAAAATTTCACTAACCCTGCTTTACAATAAGGGATTGACGACTGAATCATTGGGGCCAGGCATCAAGATTTCCTTTCTTTGAATAGTGGAGGGAATAATTATCTTGTCTTTAAATTGCCCTAAACATCAAATGAGATAATGACTTAGAAAAGCATAAAAGCACCATATAAAGACAACTGTCTTTTTCATATACTGAAAAGACAATAAAGTGGTAAAATGAAAAACACTATTTTTATTCTCCCCCTTCCTTCCTTTACAGCCTTTATTTAAACTTTGAAATTTAGAAAAATTTCACTCCTATTTTCATTTCTTTACATTCAATATTATTTTGTATTAGTTTCAGGTTTATTAGTTACAGAATAGTGGTTAGACAACCATATACTTTACAAAGTGTTCCCTGATATTTCCAGTACCCACCTGGCTTCATACCGTCATTACAACACT